TAGTCACTGATTGCCTGTTGAAAAACAAAACAAAGAAGGTGATTATAGAATAATAATCATATCAGGAATAATTTTAAAAAATATGTTTTTCTTGAAACGTGTCATAATTTGTTAATTGTTTAAGTATTTAGCCCACATGGCTCACAGTATGGAAACAAATATTTTTCTATTTTTTGGGAGGCTTTAGCACCAAAGCCCCTTTCTATGTATATTCGCCAATAATCATCAGCGGACCCTTTAGCATGTTTTAAAATTAAAATGAGATCTTCACTTAGCTCCTAACAGTGCATGTTAGAAAGGTATTGTACGAAGAACTAAACACGACATCAAAAACTGGTTATAATCTTTCCTTTTCATTTACAAAATCTTTTTACAGGTTTTGTTAGAAATTATGTAAATGTTTTTTTTTTCTTGATTCCTAGGTTCTATTGGAAAGAACGTCGCGATATGTGTAAAATATTTTTCGATGTAGCATCACAAAAAAAAAAAATTGATTAATCGTTGACTCACTTGCTCCTCTTGTTAGTAGTACGTAAGAAACCAAATTAAAATAATTTAAAAATGCGCTTTAAATGTATACTTAATAATAAATGTCTCTGAGAAAGGTACAAAAAAGTTGTACAGCTGATCAACTATGTTGAGCATACTGCTCAGTCCCAATAGATAATGTTTAATGAGGGAGGACAAAGGATAGAGTTTTTCAGGGCCATCATTCAGAGTACCGAATGTTATCCTTTATTTTCTTATTGCTACACTCAATTTTCTTCCTTCTCACGACTATCCGTAGAGCTCATAACGAATTGCTCAGGATCAATATATGTTCAGGATTCCCAACGATTCCAAAATTATTGACCCCGCCATATTCTACAGATCGCTCCTTTCCACACCCAGCCTCTCCAAACACAGCAGTTGAGGGTGGAATCGCTCCTCTACTCCCGAACCACAGTCCCCGAACCGAGTACTCTCACTAAATTCCTCTCTGTATTTCTCCTGCAGGTACGGAATGCATTTTTTATAGATCTCCTCTTTTTCTATTTGAGTTTTAAGATCTTGCTCCTCATCGTTTGTTTCACATCGTATTCTAGGATCGACTATCAGAGCCTCATTTTCTTTCCCACTAAAGTCGAAGATATCCACAAATCTCTTAGAGCCTTCCAAATCTAAACAATATACTTCAAGGAAGCAGATATACTTTTTCGTCTTTAGGAATTCGGCAACTCGATGATTTACATTATTGTGCCGGCTGGTGACAAGGAGCATGTTATCCGGACATGTTCCCAATACATGAGCTGGGGTTTCTGGCTCTCGGACACATTTGCGGCAGAGAGGTCCTGAATTGTCTGTGTCTAAGTTAATTGATTAATTGAATGTCTGTGATATGTCTAATATTTTACTACTTTTGAATATTCATATTATATAAGGGCTTCATTTAACTAAGATTAAGTCGATTCGATACCAGGCGGCGTTTTAATATTTGATAAAAAAATGAAACGGAGCCGTCCATTTCCGAAACAGATTAACTTCAGAAAAATTGAGGCAATGGTTAAGTATAATCCTGCCATCAAGTTTCACGGTCCTTCCTCTCCTCCCCCTCCCTTCAGATTTTACTTCACGAGCGGAATACAAGTTTCTTACTTTATATCATTATCTCGCAGATTGAAGCTATCCATTTCAAAGTTATTTCTTGATGACTGAACTGGTCATCTAGAGCATAACTCAAGTAATCATTTATAATGACTACAACAAATGAAGTATAAAGGACTTTCTGAACTTCACTTAAAAATGAATAGTTACAGTTTCTGATTCATGAATTTAATAATAGATCTAAATAAATAGATGGGATGTTTTTTTTCCCACTTAAGGCACAATGACAAACAAGTGAACATTTTTAATTTTAACTTTTACATATAATTTTTTTCTTCTATGTATTTATTGAATGTTACAACAATCTGTCACTTGGACATTACATATTACAGTGATTTTTTTTCTGTTTCTGTGGGTTACATAGACCGTGTAGATCTTTTCCCGCCTTAACAAGCCTGCTCAATTTCTGTCTGTCTTGGGCCATTTCTTTCTATTTATCTGTACGCAACATTTTTGCATCTTTGTTGACTCTATCTGTCCATCTGCTTTTTGGCCTTTTGCCTTCTATTTAGGCATTCATTGTTACGTAGAGGCTTCCATATGGATTGCTATGAGCTACATGCCCCGCACATCTTAAGCTCTATCCATACCTTCATATCATGGGATATTCATTGACTAGTTTCTGTAAGTAGTTCTTTATTGATCTTTCTTCTCCATGTGTTTGTACTCTGATCCCAGATCGCTCCGGTTTTTCATCATCCGGACATTGCAGAGAATTTCTTTCACAAATCATTTAATACTTTTTTCTTGAAAGCTGGTTAGTGTCTATAATATAGTAGTGCTAGTTAATATAATAGTCTTTATCGTCCTATATTCTATTGCCTATTCCCGTTATAAATTGCACCCAAATATTAAAAAACTGAATAGCAGCTGTTTTTTATGGTTAAAGCATAGAGAAAATCTTTATGCCTGTATATTTCCTGGAAATAATACAAATTTATTTTATATTATAATAAAAAAAAAGATAAATACTTCAAAAAGGAATCGTATGGATATTTTTTACGATATTCTATTATGTGGAATAATGTGCGACTAATACAACGTATTTTTCTCCAGATTTTCTCCAGAAAGTTCATTAGTTTACGAGAACTTCAGAATCAAAATTAGTTGATTTTTTTTTTTTTTTACCCTCAAAAATGTTTATTGAAACAATTACATATATAGTATACAATAATACAATATATACATGTAATAAATTCCTTCCACTGTCCGAGGGCATAAAAGCATAAAAAAATAGTTGAATCAAGTTGTCAAATTATTTCGAGTGGTTTGTAATAAACTAATAACGAGAACATAAATAACTGAAATGTTAGATAATAGTAAAAAAAAAAAAAAAGAGCGTACAATTAAGTTATAATAAAATAAAATAAAGTTATAACAATATTTTTTTAAATAATTATTCTTGAAATTTTAACAATTTGTATTTTCATTACTCAAGTATTTGTGACCTCTTGAAAAAAAATGTATTTAGCATGTTTTGAATCTAAAAGTCCTCATATTGATTTATTTCAGATTGAAGTAAAATATTAAAATACTTGACTAAGTTGGAATACAAATAATATATGGCAATCTATTATTATCTCTATAGCAGAGGCGATCGAATATAACACTATATATCAACAACAGAAAGTCCGAATTATTTTACCTTATTTCTCCTCTAAATCCTTTTGGAAATTAGAAAAAAAAACTTATTTCATATTAATAAATTAGCCTATTGTTAGTATTTATATAAATTATGTCTTTTTTTTTCCTTGCGAGAGGGTGCATCAAATACAATATTTCTAAAATGCAGGAAATATTTTTATATTGAACAGTAAGAAATAGATGAAAAAAACTCTCCAAAATTCAAGTGCTATTATGAATGTAATAGATAATTACAGTCTATAACAATTCCATATTATTCGTCTTAATGGGCATAAATGCTGGTATTTTTTCATAGTAAAAAATTAATAAATGGAAATTGGAATGTAATTGTAATATAAAAAAAATAAAACTTTGTAGGGATCATTCATAAAATATTAAGACAAAGCTGTTGCTTGATATTGTTCTAAAGAAAATGGACTCAATTTTTATTGAGGAATCTTTATAGTAAATATAGATGGTTTGAAATGTACATACAGAAAGTAAAAGATGAAAGAAAAAAAAGTATATAAAAATTACAATAGTGTTAATATTAAAAAAAAATCAGTCAGCTTCGGTATGGTATCACTTTTTAGCTAAACTTCGTACGTAATTTCCAATGAATTATCGTAATACTCTCAACTATCTCTGACATCTACTGAATTTTAAATTATGTTCAAATTGTGTATTTAGAAAGTTGTCCAATTTCCTGGAAAACAAACAGAGCAAGAGCGAGGTTGAATTTTTGTGACTTCGATAAAAACTTTTAGGCATGCGCTGTTATTATGTCCATCCTCCGCATTCAATTTCCACTAGCCTGTCAACTTAAATAGGGGAGGGCCTTTCAAAGTGATGCTTATTGAAACGGGGGTACTGAACGCTTAAAAATTGCATTATTTGAGAATTTTTTTTTCAGTTCCGCATGAAATAGCACTATTAGTCTCAATACCAAATACCATATAGTCATGTGGAGAAAATATAATTAAGCTGTTATAGATGAAGTACTTAAGAAAACCTAGCAATGTCGATACCGCTAGATATTTTACTTTCGATCAAATATCGTATAAAAATATTGGATTCGAAATTATAGTAAAATCAAAAGAAAGAAGCTACTATCGGATGTCGATATTTATTTTAAATTATATTTATATGATAATAAAATTAGTTAAATCAATTTAATATTTTAAAAAACATAAAATGAGCTTATTAACACTTGCCAATATTTTTAAACCATTGAAATACAAACTCCTAAATATCTCTTTATATCGTAAAATGGAGTTACAATACTATCCAAGAAAATAGCTCAAGTCGTTTGTTTATTGAAAAAAGTCACCATGTACGTTTTGATGGAGCTGAACGTTTGACAGCGTTTTTGTGAATTTCCAACAAAAAACGACGGTGAAAAACACCGCAAGTACACTAAAATGACGAAAACCTTTATTTATCAATTGATACATTTAATTATACACAACGTATATTTATATATGTATATAAAATTTAATTACAACTAGCACACAAATTTATCACAAAGGAAAAAATTATCAAATGTTCTAAGTCATTTAAGATTATGAAAAATCACTTAAGGACTTTTTTTCATTAAACCGACCATATATTTATTAAGTATTTCAACAATTTCATTCTGATATCGATATGGAATGTCGGAACTTTCAAATCAAAACCTTTAAAATGCATTTTGATTTTGAATACATTTCGGACAGTTGACGTTTCAATTCATTATGCCACTTGGACTAGGTTCAATGGAATACATCGCAGCGACTATTGATATGAACAGAGGAGAGCGGCACAGGTTCACTTCGAGGCCAATAGAGGTTCACCTTGCCTTGACAAGCTAATGATCATAATCAATTGTCATATCTGTCTTAGCTTCACATTTATCCTCCCGTCCGCGGCTACTGCTCAGTCCTGTGCCCGGTTTGACTGGAGTGAATACGTCTCTAGGACTCCAGATAGTCCCAGGCATCGAGCTATCATTAAAATCGCACAGGAAGACTTCTGAGTAAGCCGAAGGAGAAAATATTTGAAATTTTCTTCAATTCCAAATCATTCCATCCAGTTTCCAAGAAGACCGGAAATCCGTCATGCTGGGATTGATGGCCGTTTAGCACCTCGAGGTAAAGGGCGTGACGCCCCGAAAACAGCTCTGGTAATTTATTCTGAAACATCATTTAACATACTGACAGCACGTTTCCAATTATTGACTGACTCATCTCTGAATGATTGACTACTGGCGAGAAGAATCCGCTTATTACTTAATTTATTTGAAAACAAATAAAAATCTTGGGAGATTGGAGCCGCATTCCTAAAATCTAGATAACTAGTTCCTAAAGTTCTAAAACAAAGATTAATAAACAACAAATGCATCTAGTAGGAAACTGGGTTGGAGTAATTCCTTCAGCACACATTCTATATTCTGGCGAAATAACTTTACTAGACTCACTTACCAGTTTAGTTATTATAAAGTTTGAATAAGTCAAACATTTAAGCACCTGTCAGTGTGACGTCCTTAATAATTCTGGATGAAAACAGAGGCTTCGTGATCTTAAAGGAAAACAGCAGGACTGACAGAACAAAATTATTCTAAGCTTCTGCATTACTGAGGGATGCAGAATGAACTTTCTTCATTCAATAACGAGATAGAATTATTTCTAGTCAACAAGGTTTATGGAAGGAACTCATACATAAACAACGTTGGTTAAATAATTACTATCACTCTAGTAACTTATTAACTGGAACCAGAGGTATCCATCTCCCCCCCCCCCAAGGTCGATGGCGCATAAAATTCCTTTTCTCCTTCCCACGAAATAGTATTGCTATCTTTTCTTAAAACCAGTGCAAGTGAAAGTAGATCATAGAAGAAATGTAGACCATATCCGATTACACTTTCTTGGTTAAAACGTTTTATTCAGAAAATTCATCCTGTCGAAATGTGCCCCGCTCGAAAATTCTATACCCCGTCAATATGTGTAACCCTGAAACATTTTAATAGCGCAACTTGCGCCATGGAATCCCCTTCTGTGCATCCCTGACTGGAACTGAAACTTTCCATCAGTTACTGTATTTTTTAAAGCGAAAAATTGCTTTTTAAAATCTGAAAGTTGGGGTAGACAAATAGCTCTGTAATAATTTTCAAATAGATAGCTCTGTAATAAATCATTCAAAATAGAGGAAGATCTGAACCTTTGAATAAATTTAATGTTTACAAAAAGCTCTAGGATTCTAGGTCATTCAGTTCTAAGATGTCCTTCTGACACAGCAAAATTACTTTTTTCTGGAAATCAACCATTTACCCAGGAGAGGAAATCATTAAAACGTATACTAAGCATGGAACAGTGGGAGAAGTAGGGTAGCTCACTGGATTATGTGAGTGGGTAAGGTACTGATACACCGTGCCTGGTTACGAATATTAAGAAAAATCTGAAGTGTTTTTTAATCCTTTTATCAGATTTTATTATTTCCCTGTGTTCACCTGCAGTATTAATAACGGTACTAATGGTCCACTAAAAAAATAAATAATAATAAAATAAAAATACCCTACTGAAGTTGTTCGGAAAACATGTCAAAAAAAAACCAATGGTAATTGCTTTTCAATATTATGAAATAGAAAATACCTACATTCTTCCCATTGGCGGATATACGGTGGGATGGGGAGGGGAAGATTTTCGGGTTGACGTCTCTACCCAAAATGGAAAAATTCATATATTTTTTCATTGATATATATTTGTTTCTGGAATTGATCTGAGCTAAATTAAAAATTTAAAAAGGCATTATTTTAAAACTATAATGCATGTATTTAACCAATTAAATGTAAGCACCTTTAAGGCTATTCTCATCGGGTCCAGATATCTCATTAGCCCCCTTCCTTACTTTCATCTACTTAATCTCAATAACCGTCTCATCCATTTTTTCTCTACAGTCAAAAACCTAAGAGTAACCTTCGACCAGAACCTCTTCTGGAATAACCATATCTCCCAGATTACGCGAAAATCCATAACTGCCATTAAACAACTCCTAAGATTCTGTGATTGTATTCCTCTAAAAACCAGACAGCTCCTTGTAACCTCCCTTATATTCCTCCACTTTGATTACGGCTGTTTGGTGTATGGAGGGCTATCTGCCAGGCTAAAAATGAGACAGAAGAGACCCATGAATTGTTTCATAAGATCTTCGGGATCCCCAGGCGTTCACATGTTTCACTCTGATACCCCGAGTTGAAGTGGCTTTATCCTACTTTTCGATGACAATTCCTCCTTGATGTTTTGCTTTTCCAAGTCTTCAGAACCAAAAACTCTCCCTACATCCTGGAACTCCTAACTCTACGTTCCTCTATCTCTCTCTCAATACCAGGTATCAACCTATAGACCTATAGACCCCTCCAATAAAACTTCTTCTTTCAGCAAATCCTTCGTCATTCGTGCTGCATGCTTATGGAACTCTGTTCCTACCTCCATACGACAATCCTCGTCCACAAATTCCTTTAAACAACTCCTGTTTCACCATCTACCGCACAGTCAAACTTCCATGTAACATGTAAAACATGTAAAATTACTTGCATCTGTACACTGTTTAATTTCAATCTACTGCACAATTGCAATGACAATTAACAGTAAATTAGTTTGTATTTTTATTATTCTAAGTCACACTAAGACCCATAAATTTGTAACTGCTATTATTCTTAGAGGACAGTAGTCGCAGAATAAAATTATTTTTTCATTTCATTTCACCTTATTTATTATTTATATTTTCACCTTATCTGGTTTATTATTTTTAATAATATTATACGCAATAAGAGGTTATACGCTTCAGGATACGTAGAATTCTAAAATCGAATATAATTTTTTTTTACCGTCCGCCATCCGCGCATTTTCTCGGAAAATGCTGGACCAATTTTTTTCAAATTTGGATTTGAAGTCAGAGGTTACCCGAGGATGATCCTCTTACACCGGCATTTCTATTCGATGTTTTCTTTCAAGATGGCGGCCGAAAAACATGTGTTGCTATAGACTGTAGCGCCTAAACGAATATACCGATTTCAATGAAACTTGGCTAAGTCTTATTCTCGATGCCCTTTAAATTTATCCATATAACATACTTCAACGAAAAGAAGATGCAAAAAAAAATTTACGAGGGATTGTAAAATAAGATTTGGAATAACTCAAAAAGTACGCACTTTTTTATTGATTTTTTATTAGATATTTCAAAGATATTCAAATTTACTAAAAAAACGAAGAAAGTTTCATAGAAATCAGGGCACTGCTATTAATAAAAATATCGCGATTTTAAAATATTGTTGGTTTATTATTTTCAATAATCAACCGTTGCAATCGACCAAAAAATTCAAAAACTTAACCCCCTTCAAAATTTGAGGTTTTACGTTTCAGGGTACGTAGAATTCAAAAATCGAATACTTTTTTTTCTTCCTGAGTGAATTGTGGTTATTTAAAAAAATTATATAAATAAATAGAAATTAAATCCTGAATCCGCTACTTCCTTAAGGAAAAAAGAAAACTACCAGCCTTAATGGTACCGCGGTTCGCGATTCTATAATTTTAGAAAATTACTATTGTTCGAAAATATTTTATTGTTTAAAATAATATATATAAAAAAAAAAAAAAATATATATATATATATATATATATATATATATATATATATATATATATGTATAATGATAAATACAAGAAAATCTACTTAATTAAGCCTAAGCAATGATTGCACCGATTTTTTTCTTTTGATATTTAATTTTGGTTCGCATGAACACTACGATTTCAGCTGAGGAGGCATTAGGGACACAGGTCTTCGTGTTTCTGTATAAAGAAGCTGGCTTTGATTCTATCTCCCCACGTTTATAAGGACATGCCCACGCATTTCTTTTTTTTTTTTTTTTTTTTTTTTTTTTTTTCTCCTCCGGCATGTTTCTTAAACTTTTATTTTGTTTTTATCTTTTCCAAGAAATCCACACCACTGCAGGGAGTAATAAAACAAATTTACTTTATATGGGTAAATTTTAATAGGAGGAACACTTTAATAACTTCAAATAAATTTTCATAAGGTCGGAAAATAGCTAATTATAAAAGTAGAAAGCAATTATATAATAATTTAGTGTTTTTATTATTTTTTAGTTGATTAAATGCCTGGATTATACTAATCAAAATAGTCACTTTGTTTTCAAGGGGATTCACATTCCGAACTATCCCAAACAGGTCCCAAACATTTAGGCTGTTGGAGTTCGCTGTGTCAGGTGTTAAACCCACGGTCCATTTCCGAACATCTTGGCCCTATCAGATCACTTTCTCTCAAGGGGGCTACAAACTTACCAAACTACTTTCTTCTTCCTGATGCGTCTCTTTTTTATTTTATAAATCTAATTTATTATAATTTTATAAAATAAATTTATATAAACAAAATATATATAAAACAGTTTATCGAATCCAAACAGTAATCATAAACGTAACATAATTTTAAGATAATACTTCACTTGAAATTTAATTCAGGGTATGAATGTCGTTAATTATTATATTAAAGAGAACTGTTTCATAACGAAAGAAATTATCGGGATAGATGTTGGATTAGCCGAAGTATTGACCCACATGTTTGGGTCACTACGTCGGCTAACCCAATAAAAATATCTTGACTGAAAATTTTGTTTCAACCATTAAATCCACAATTAAAATTCACTCAGAACATAAGCAGTTTGTCGTAAGTTAGATAAGCCCTTTAATAGTTTCCATAACTAACAGAAACGAGCCAATTATACCTTGGTACCGAAGGTAAGAAAGATTCTTATTCACATGAGTTAAAACAAAAAATGGTGCTCAGAATCGAAATTTTCCCCTTTGGTTTTACGTTTTGAACATTAAAAGAAAAATTTGGTTCCTTATCTGTCTGTAATTACACGTGACGGGTACACCACTTACTGCCATTAGTCTGATTTTCGATATTTTCAGATTGTGTGGGTTTGTATTGTGATGGCCTAACATCATATTTTAAAAAAAATTC